CATTCTGATTTGAGACTGGACAGCTGACTTCTAGATATTTAGAACAGAATGCAGTATATGTATCTCTGCAAAGAGGATGCATTTTCTTTTCTTTTTTGGCAGTATTGGGACTTGAACTCAGGTCTTCATGCTTGCTAGGCAGGTGCTGTACCACTTGAACCATACCTCCAGCTTAGGATGATGTATTTTGTGACAAATTGAAAACAAATTATGATTCAGTATAATAAAAGCATAATGAGTAGCTGTCATTGTATTTTTAAAACTAATATTGGATGTTAAAGTTTACTGGTTACATAAAATTTGCTTCCATCTCTAATGAAAGAGATTTACTTACTCCAATAAGTAGACTGATGTCCAAGAGGTTTCTAGATCTTATTTTCCTCCCCTTTCTTTTCTTAACTCACCTAATTTCTTAGAGTTGTAGTTTGGATACCCATAAAATTGTGAGAAGGGTTGTTGGACATTAGGATAGTCATTGTTTCAACTTTAGTAAACTATGATTGCAAATTTAAGTTAATTGTATTTCATTTTAGTATGTTCCTTTATTCTATTCGAACACTGTACCTGGAGGAAGCTTGACTTAAGAACTCAGGCTTCATGACTTGGGGCATGGCTCAAATGGTACAGTGCCTGCCTAGCAAGCATGAGGCCTTGAGTTCAAATCCCAGTACTGCCAAGAGGGGAGAAAAAGTATGTGTTGGTGCACATATGTGTGTGTTTTAATACATTTTTTAGTGTACGTTGTTTTGCAGTGTACTAATTTCACTTACATTGTATTATAGATCTTTCAGAGTTGTAGCTTATATACCCACCTTATTTTAATTGTTGCATGGTATCCCATGGAGTTTAGTTCAGCTCTAATTTTTATGGCAGTAATAAACAAGGCAGTAAAGAACATCTCTATGGAAAAGTAACTTATTGAACCCTTCCTATATGAAAGTATAGTACATTATATCATCTAATCACCCCAAGTCTAAGATAAGTACTAATTAGCATGAAGAAATTGCATATGAGAAAACCAGTCACCAAGCTCATAAGAAGCATATTTACCCAACCTAGTAACACCAGAGCTGTTTTATCACAGCTTTTATTGGATTCTCAAATTCATGTTCCTAAACATGTCAAGAGCTGAGATTTTAGATTTTAGGAAGGGATCATAGGATTTAGGGCTATAGGAATGGTGGAGATCCACTACCTTGCTCCTTTGCATATCCATGGCTGCTGCCTGTGCTACAAGTGATTTTTTAATCGATCATCCAAGCTAAGGAACTTGAGAGTGGAAGAAGTGGCATCATGACAGTGTTTATACTGAGATAGCAGACATATTTGTCAGGAAAAATTGAGACAGGAGACACATGAGTGTCTTCACCCTAGCCTAGGCTGTCGCCATCTTCCATATGAGTTACTGTAGCCTTCTGTCTGGTCTCCTGGCATTTACTCTTAACCCATGCCAGTCCATTTTCACACAGAAGCCAAAATGAATTTTTTAAAACAAAAATCTTCTTTATATCATTAAACAGCTTAAACCCTGTTTGTGGCTTTGTGAAAGAATATATTTATTTGGCCTTCCTATGATTATTTGGATGTAGTGTGAAATAAAAGCACTTAAGGCTTGTGTTTGAGTCTCAGATATCAAGACTAGTTTGGTGAACTTGGGAAAGCTGTTTAATTTCTTGAGCTGGTTTCTCAAGTATAACACATAGATAGTGTGAGGAACAGGGTGAGGTAATAAATATGAAAGGTGCAGGACACTGTTAATAGTTAACTATGCATTTGTTATGCCATTTAAAAAATTGTCCTTGTGTCCTGTCCCAGTATCTATCAGATTATAATAGTATTTTTACAAGCTGAATCACCTTTCATGTGACTATCAAAGTTTCACAATATAAAAACCTTAGCCACGTTTTTAAAAAATCAGAGCCCAGTCAGGTGTGGTGATTCTTGCCTGTAACCCCAGCTACTCAGGAGACAGAGATCAGAATGATCGTGGTTCAGGGCTGTTCCGGGTAAAAAGTAAGTAAGACCGCATCTCAACCAATAAGCTGGGCATAGTGGTGCACAGCTGCCATCCCAGTTACACAGGAAGCATAATTGGGAGAATTGAGGTCCAGGGCTGACCTGAACAAAAATATGAGATCCTACGAAAAAAATCCTAAAGCAAAAAGGACTGGGGCATCATGGCTCAAGCAAAGAGCTCCTGCCTGTCAAGTGCAAGGTCCTGAGTTCAACCCGTAACTACTGAAAAAAAAAAATCCATAAACATTTTGATTTGTCAAAGGTAAAAGTTACCAAGTTAGTACTAAAATGTGGAACTGTCACTTTGGCATTATAGTCTGATAATCTTTCTACTAGTCTCTCCTGTCTTCTCAAAATAATCAAGTAGTTACATGTTTATAACTTAAAGATAATAGCACATCCTTCATAAATTGAGAATGATTTAGGAATGTATATCCATGGAGCTTACTGACTTAATTAGAAGTAAGTGGTGGCTTGCAAAAGGTGAATTTATTATGCTACAGAATTAGCTGGGAGGAGTATTAGAGTGACTGTCATAATTGGAGGTCCAAGTCACAACTGGAACTCAGAGTAGTGGGGAATGTTCTTTTTTTTTTTTTTTTTTTCACTGACAGCCCTAGGACTGAGTCCTTAAAGCAAGCTTTTGAACTAAGAGAGAGCATGGGCTATACCTCTGGTGTTTGGAAGGTCTGTATCAGGCCTGTAATTTCACTACTATGCCTCTGGTAGTATTGGATTGAACCATATGAAATTGCTAATTATACCAACTTAAAAAAGACTATTTTTTATGGTTCAAACTAGTACCTTAGGGTAGTAGAAGGAAGAATGAGGCATCATAAATTGACAACCCTAATTGGACATCAAAAAATGGTAGAGTTCCACAAAAGAGAGAAGAGTTCTTCCTCTTAGAAGGAGGAGAATAATTAAAAAGCATCTGGGCAGAAATCTGCCTTTGCATAACAAATTGCCTATAACTCTCAAACCATATTATACTTTTTGTGTTTTGTATTTGCCTTAGGCACTTCCTCATAGCAGTCCTATGCAAAGAAAAAGAAATTGAGGCACAAAGGACTAAAATAACTTGTCTAATATTATGTAACTAATGAACATGGAACCAGAATTTAACATTAAATTAAAGACAAAACCCAGTTTATCCTTCAATACCAATATGTCTCAAAGATTATCATTGAAAATACTGCTAAAGAAAAAATAGGATACATATGCCTGCTTAGGAGATGCTGGCATATATGATCTTCAATGTGAATATTGTTTACTTCTCTGTGATGCAATGGTGATAGATTTGGTTTTCAAATGCTGAGGCTGTTATGTTGATTGTTAGCTTAAACTTTGAATTAAATTGTTCACGAACATTCATGTCACATCATCTCAGTGTGAGAAAAATGGCATACCATGCCATATTGTCTGGATGACTAAACCCAGTTTACTTTATCATGCTCTGGTCCAAATAACGCTTATGTTAGGTTTCCCTGTGTAAGTCAAGGGTGTTTTTAATAGTTTTTCCCCTTCAATTTAGCATTTGATCTTCTATATAGCTATATGTTTGGATTCTGATTGACCCAACACATGGTGTATTCCAGAGTTACATAGTATCTGGGCACTGGTGGTTCACACTTGTAATCCTACTTGGGAAGCTGAGATCTGGCAGGATGTGGGTTGAGGCCATCTTGGGCAGGGAGTTCGAGAGACCCTAACTCAATCAGCGGTTGGGCACAGTGGTACACATCTGTAATCCCAAGCTACAGGAAGCTTAGATTGGAAGGATCACAGTTCTGGATCAACTGTGGCAAAAAAGTTTGGGAGTCCCCATCTCAATAGAAAAAAGCTGGGCATGGTGGTACATGTTTGTCATCACAGTGACGGGGAAGATCATGGTCCAGGACAACCTGAGCAAGAGCAAGATGTATCTCCAAAGCAACAGTAGCAAAAGGGCCAGAAATATGATTAAAGGACCTGCCTCTCAAGTACGAAACCCTGACTTCAAACCCTAATACCATCAAAAAAAGATAAAATTACATAGCTTTGGAAATACTTTGAAATTGTTATAAGTAAAGCTTTTTAAGTAGCTTTTTTGTTGTTTTATATACTAACAGCACATTATAAGTATGTGCTTTATAGAAACAGTACCTTTATTTTGGAGAAATTGGGCTGAGAAATTGGACTGTTGGGAGGAAAGAAGAGGCAGCTGCACCAAATCTTTTGTGGATTACATAGTAGTGTGACCTTTTGTGAGGTTGTTAGAGTATAACATTATTAAAGGCAGAAGTAAAGAGTGCTTTCTAATCACTGCTGCTAAACGAATAACAAGAGGCAAAATAGATTTCCTTTTTTGTTTTCATAGAGAAGTATGATCATGATATGGTAGATAAGAAGGATGATTTGAATAGTGTGCTGTCTTGTAAGCTTCCAGATCTCTACAAAGTGATATGTTTAGGGAACATTTTAGTGAGAAAACCAATTAAGGCAATGGTATAAAAACATGAAAAAATGGGTCATGGGGAGAATTTTCATCATTTTAATACCTGACAAAATCTTAAAACTTTTATTTTATGATCAGGGGACATGTCTCAAGAGGTAGAGCATTTGACTAGCATGTGTGAGACCCTGTGTTCAATTCCTAGTACTGTCAAAGGAAAACAAAAAATCCCAAAAAAAAACCTACTTTTATTACTTGAAATTAGTTAAAATAGCTATAAAAAAAGGTTTTTTGGCAGTACTGGGGTTTGTATTCAGGGCTGTGCTTGCTAGGTAGGCACTCTACTACTTGAGCTATATCTCAGGTCTAGCTGTGAAAATCTTTATAGAAATTAATCTCATAAACATGCAATTATTGCTATAGTATGTATGTATGTATGTATTGTCTTTTATAAAAGATTTACCTGATACAGTTCTTCTTACCAGAAAGAGATTATTTCTCAAGTAGTTTATTTTTAAAATAGTCAGTGTTTTCTTCATTTTTCTTTTAGATGATAGTATTTCTGCTGCCAGCACTTCTGATGTCCAAGATCGCCTCTCAGCTCTTGAGTTACGAGTTCAACAACAAGAAGATGAAATCACTGTGCTGAAGGCAGCTTTGGCTGATGTTTTGAGGCGTCTTGCAATTTCTGAAGATCATGTGGCCTCAGTGAAAAAATCAGTCCCAAATAAAGGTAATTAAGTGAGCTATAAAATAAGAAGTCTTGCTTTTTGCAACATTTTCATTGAAAATTGAAATTTGGAATATAAGACTGGTTTCTCTTTTGGATTAATTATGATTATGGTTTGTTTCTTTATTCCCAAGAATTCTGAAAGTCTATTTTTATTTTAAATTGGGAACTTCTGGGTAATAATACCGACTATACTTACATACTTATGTCATACTATTTGTGTGAAGTTAGTACTTTCCAACTAAATAATAAATTTACTGAGGGCAGAAACTGAATCTTCTTTTGGTATCTCCCATTCTATCTTAATCTCCCATTCTACTTAATTATAAGTAGACATACATGTTATATATACATATCCCATATATACACAATGCATTATATATTACATGTACATGTAGTCAGAAACATGAAAATTACTATAGTTTAAGTAGCTTTATTCTACGCCCTTTCCATAGTTACTAGCCAGCAGAATCCTGAAGAAATTAATGTAAGCATTAAAAGTCATTGCCAATTCCATTACAGTGGGAATTTTAACTTCCAGATATTGAGAGTTTTTAAGGTTGAGAGAAACAGTTGTCAGGATCCTGATGGTTTGCATTTGGAGCAGATGTAACTTTTTTCTTCAGCATCTGAGAGAGAATTTTAAATTCTTTCCAATTAAAGAAGAATTTAAACATAACATTTCATATCTCTTACTGATTTCTTGGTTGAGTAGATAGGGTCTGGCATGATTACCCTAGTTGTGGCAGTGGGAAAAGAGAGAATTGCTAACCTTCCTTCTGCAATGTCACAGGAAATTATTAACTTAGGTAGAGTCTTTTTTTTTTTTCTTTTTTTAGAGGTAGACTTTTAATAACTGCTTTTATCACCAGGTTAAGTCATGCAGTGACAGAGTAGTTAGAAATTTCTAAAAGGGTATTGTTAAAAAAAAAAAAGTGTGCTCATTGTTACATACACAGTGTCTAGTATTTCATGGGACACTACTGTTCAAAAGGCCCTGACCAAGTAACTCCCCTACAAAGCACTCAACTCCAGGCTGTTTCCAGCCTGCTGTTAATGAAGCAGGGTGTAGAATGTGAAGCCTCTGAAGAGGCTTGGTGGGCTGAGCCAGGACCACTGGCATGCTCAGACCCCACCAGACTCCAAATAGGGAGCCCAAATGGTTTTTATATAACTTCTAGATTTTTATCTAGATAAAAGAACAAAAACCATGATATGGGAAACAGATTTGAAAGAAGGATTATGAGTTCAGTTTTGAATGTTGAGTTTGAGGTATGTATATGGTATATGACTAGGTATATACAGATGGCTGAAGTACAGGTCTAGTGCTCATGTTACTTGGCTAGTAAAAAGGACTTGGGACTACTCAGCTTATGGATGAGAGTTGAAGCAATAGAAAGAGGATGTAAAATGAGAAGAAAGCCCCAAATACTTCTCAACATTCTGGCTTAATAGTGATTTATGTTGCCAGCTGCTACAGAGACGTCAAATAAAAGGCTGAGAAGTGACCATTGGGTTTGGCACTTACAAAAATATTAGAAAACTCTACAAAAGCAATTTTAGTGGAGTAACAGAATTAAAAATCAAATTCTACTATTTTGAAAAGCTGCAAATGAGAATTATGGAATTGAGAGCAGCAAATTTAGCCACTCTTTAAAAAAATTGCTAACTATATAAGATGGTAATAGCTAGAAGGTGATGCTAAAATGAAGGCCAGTTTTACTTGTTTGTAATATTTGTTTGTTTGCAATGCTAGGGATCAAACTTGGTCTCATGCAGGCTAGGCACTCTACCACTAAGCTATACTCCTAGCCCCTTGTAATTTTAATTTTTACTATGCTTTAGGTAATGTTGAGGATAGAAAGGCAGAAGAGAGAAAGATCATGTTGAGGGGTGGGTAATAACTGATGAAGTAAGTTTCTTGAAAGTTTGAGAAGGGTTTTTAGAGCAAGTGAGAAAGAAGACTCAGAGACATTACTTCTAAGATGGAATGGAAAGAGATAAGACTCAGTGGAAGTCTGGTTGTCAGGACTGGAAGTTTCAGTCCTTCTCCTGAAGAGGCAGTGATGCCTTTTAAGAGAATAAGACAGTTTTGTTTATTTTTTGTTTTGAGTCAGGATCTTGGGCCAAGGTTGCCCAAGCTAACCTTGAACTCTTGAGGAGAATGGGGGAACAGTATCATTTTACCTAGTTTTGTGATTCTGACTCTTTTACCTCCTACCTTCAAGTATCCTAGTGGAGATTTAGAGAGAGGGCAGAATTGATCTTGTCCATTAGTGGAATGATAAATATGTTGATGACAAGGGATAAGGGACTTGAGAGTTTGGCAAAAAGCTTGGTAGAAACCACATTAGAGGCCAGGAATGATGGCTCATGCCTGTATCCCAGCTACTTAGGAGGCAGAGACTAGGAGAATTAAGGTTCAGGGCCAGCCCAGGAAAAAAAGTTAGTGAGAACCCCCCGATCCCAACATTCAAAAAAGCTGAGCATGGTGGCTCATTGCTGTAGATCCAGGTCCACAGAAGGTGTAGGTAGGAGGATCTCAGTCCAAGGCTGGCTCTGGACAAAAACACAAGACCCTGTCTGAAGAATAACCTAAAGCAATTTGGGATAGAAAATATATATAATACATATATATCTCAAAATGTCATAATGAAACTCCCTGTGTAGCTATCTTAAACAAACAGAAATGTCTTTTTTCAAAAATGGAGGACAAGAAGGTGAAACTGGTCCTGTCTGGGTGTTGGTACTAATGTTAGGGGGAGGATATGGTGGAAATATTAACATACTCATGTATGAAAATGGAAAAATGAGATGTGTTGAAACTGAAGGGGTTCCCTGTCTTCTTAGATAAAGGAGAATGATGGGGTGAATTTGACTAAAATGTATTATAAGCACTTTAGTCAATGTTGCAATATACCCTAGTGCAACAGTATGATAATAAAAATTAAAAAGTAGTAGAGGTTTTTAAAAAAAAAAAAAAAAAGCAAAAAGGGCTGGGAAGGGGGTGTGGCTCAAGTTTTAGACCACCAAGATGTCCTGAGTTTAAATCCCATACCACCACAAAAGAGAGAGGGAAAGGGGAGAGAGAAAAGAGAAGAAAAGAAATGAAACCTTGGATGATGTTATGTTGTGGGTTGTTTTGTTGTTGCTTGGAATCATCTTTGAAGAGTGCCAACATCAAGCCAGGAAAAAAGTAATCTGGTTCTAAATTGATTTTTGTAAGAGGATTTGGAGTTGTTACTGAGAGAATGAGGAACCAGGTAAGTTAACATATATAGACTTTATAAGGAAGGAAAACTTTGTGTAAAGAGGGAAAAATAAGTTTCCTATCTGTAATTGGATATGTTCTTCTCAGGTTTTAAGTGTATGTAAGTCCTGCAGTAGAAAGTGTTTGCTTGCTATCTACAGTAGTTTTAAAAAAAAATCTTTATTTTAATTGACACATAATAATTGTACATACCTATAGAGTATGATGTGACTTTTCAACAAATATATACAACATGTAACGGCCAGATCAGGGTAATTGGCATATCTATCACCTCAGACCTTTATTATTTCTTTGTATTGGAAATACTCAAATCCTCTGTAGTAGCTACTTTTGAAGATTTGAAATTAATTGTTGTCAACCATAGTTATTATTCTGTGCTTTGTACAACATTAGAAGTTAACTTACTCATCCTGTCAAGTTGCACCCCTGTACTTTTAGCCATCCCTTCTCTCCATCCCTTTCTCCACCACATACTTCCCAGGCTCTGGTAATCACTATTCTATTCTCTGCTTTTTAGAGATCTACTTTTTAGCCTCCATATATATACTTGAGAACATGCAGTGTTTATCTTTCTGTGTCTGGCTTATTTCACTTAACATAGTGTCCTCCCAGTTCCATCATTCTGCTACAAATGAAAGGACTTCTTTTTTTCAATAGCTAATTAATACTCAGTTGTGTATATACCTGTGTTAGCTTTTCATCACTCTGGTAAAATACCCAAGGAAACCTACCTAAAAGAGAAAAGTTATTTTGGCTTTAGCTTCAAAGGTTTTAGTCCTGGTCACTTGACTCCATTGTTTCTGGGCTGTGGTGAGGCAGAACATCATGGCAGGAAGTACGTGGTAGAGCAAAACTGCTTATCTCATGACATCCAGGAAGCAGGGAGAGTGAGGAAAAGGCCAGGGATAACATACAACCCTTTCAAGGGCATGCACCTAAGGACCCACTCCCTTCAACTAGGTCCTACCTCCCAAGTTTCTAGCACCTCCCAATGGCCCATCAGATTATGAACCCATCAGTAGATTAATTTGCTGATGAGATCAGAGCCCTCATGAGGCAGTTACTTTCCCAAAGCCACACTTCTGAACATTGCTGCATTGGAAACCAAGCTTTCAACACATAAGCCTTTAGGGGCCATCTCAGATCCAAACCATAACAATACCGTGTTTTCTTTATCCATTCACCTGTAAGTGGACCCCTAGGTTAATTTCATATCTTGGTGGTTGTGAATAGAGCTGCAGTAAACATTCAAACACAGATGTTTCTTCACCATACTGATTTCATTTCCTTCAGTCATATGCCCAGTAGTGGGATTGCTGGATCTTTGGGCAGGTTTTTTGAGGAACCTCTATACTGTTTTCCATAATGGCTGTACTAATTTACATCTCTACCAACAGATAGGAGAGTTTCCCTTTCTCCTCAATAGTTTTATTAGTCTTTAAAAACATTATAAAAATTTTGCTGTACTAAAACTATATTTTAATCTTCTGTTGAGAAAAATTTTAAATAGTTTTTTTACTAAGGTTTTTCAGTAAAGAAAATTCTGAAATATTTAAGGGAAATTTAAAGACTGCTTTTTAAAAAAGTCCAGCAGATGTACAATATTTTATATGACATATCAGTTATTTAGCACCTACCTCTCAGTGTCATAAGTTACAAATACAGTTACATAGCTTTAAATCATAGTCCCAGGAACTTACTTTTTGCAAGTTATCCTTTCTAGTCCCTTACT